TGACATTTTCAACGTTATATTATTAGGATCACCATATTTTAAATCAAATTAATATTGACTTTAGGAGCAGGAACCGACAGGGGATAAACTGTGAGACTGGCAGCAATCGTCACTCTTCAATCCATAAAAAGAAAAAAGAATAAACAAAAAAATAATAATAAATTAAAAGATGAAATAATGAGTCTCCAACAATCAAAACAGGTAATATATATGCAGAGCATAATATAAATAATATCAGAGATTTCAAGAACAATGTATAGAGTACATAGAATCCACTTGCACCAAGTGAGATAACAGTATTTGGATCATATCAATTCATAAGTTTTGGGTATGAATTTTAATGTTAATATAGACTTATTCGTTTCATTTATAGTGACTTTTTAAGTACTAATTTAATATGGGAGATTGAAATTGAATACTATTTTAATTGCAGGTGCAACCAATAGACCCTAAGGCGAGAGGTCGTTATATCTGAACCCTCTGCATGGGAGCGTCCAAAATGGCTAACCGGAGGAGATTCATGTATATGATTACAAGTTAAGTTAAATATGAAGGACTTTTAAATAGAGAGGCCGCTACATCTTAACCCTCTGCATTGGAGCGTTCGAAATGGCTAACATGATGAGATTTATGTATAATTACAAGTTGAATATGTAAGCACTTCTTTATCCAACTTAAGTTTGTGATAATCATCAAACTAAATCAATATATATCTATTTAAAAAAAAAAAAAAAAACTATGGGCACAATATATACTACAATACAACACTTGGAGAAAATTTATTGGTTAGTTAGTTCAAATTCATAAAGCCTAATGTATATATATACACACAACAACCATGTGTTATATATATATTGGTGGACGAGGATTCTTCGCCGGCGGCTATATGATTATATGAGTAACACGTACTCTTAAAATTTTATTGCTGGGAAAAAGGATTCTTATCAATTCAAACATATAATTATTATGATTTAATTTAGTTACTTTAGTATGATTTAAAGATATCACAATTTAATTCTAGAGTTTGATAAAGAAGTGTTTTAGCCTAGGTCAATTCATGAGTAATGTGGTACGATCTCACATCTGTTCTATACGAAATTGTGGAGTGGTATTTAAACTTGGGCTAAACCTCCCCTCATGAACTGGCTTTTGTGGTAGAGTTAGAGGCTTGACTTGAATGCCGTATCATTTGGTTCTCTTGTTAAGAGGCCGGAGTGTGGTGAAAAAGGGCTACTGGCAGGAAGAGGGTTACTCATTTCTTTGAGTAATTATATATAGCATTACATATAATTTCCTATAAAAGGAAATTCAAAATTAGTGTTCGAGATACCCAAAATGCTGTAATTACATCACCGGTAAATTAAATAAACTTAAGCGTGAATTCTCACAAGTTACAAATGTTAAAATCGACCCTTTTTTTTCAATTAGATCATTGAAACTCGTTTCAATTATACCCCTACAATATTTTTCCTTTAAGAAACTGATCAGCTTTATTTTTAATTTTTTTTTTTTACTATTACGAAAATTACTCTGAACGTTTAAAGAGTTCTCTTCATTATATGAATCATTGAGAAAGAGGCGCGACTAAAATATAAAATATATATTCATTTCTAAAAGTTTGCATATGTCATAGTTGTGAAGAGTATGAAAAGGAAATGGCTAAACCCTAAGTTTTTATTTAAAGGAGAATTTATGATTCCACTCTCCATTTGTCAATTCACATATGAGGAGTGGCTTTTGGAGCTCGTGAAAGAACCCAAGAAATAATTTTTTACACACCTATCAGTACTGTCTTTTGTAATTATATTTATTTTGACATTTTTTGTATACTAAATTCATCATTATTAGTAGCAATTAATATATTTTAATCAAATTAATAATATTGATTGTAGTAGCAGGGACCGACTGCTGAAAAATTTTTAGACTTGCACGTAATCGTCACGTACTCTTCAATCCACATACAATTGAGAAAAAAAAAAGAATAATAATAATAATAATAATAATAATAATAATAATAATAATAATAATAATAATAATGATATGATGATGATGAGACTATCCAGAATAGTAACACATAAATAAATTAGACTTATAGTTACTTTCTAAAATTATTTTTAAAAAACTTTTTTTTATATATTAATTGACGTGTCATTATTATATATTGTCTGCATGGACAATTCAGTTTGTCACATGATGAAATTTGAGAACAATGATGGATATCGAGTCTCCTTGTGTGCAGTAAGCAAATGTCTAGCATAAGTGTTTAGCTTAGTTAACAACAAGAAAGTAGATATTAAATTGTAATAGAGTCAGTAATATTAATATATATATATACTTTCTAATAAAAGTATTTTTCTAATTAATTTTGTATTAATTGGGGTGTTATTATTATATAAATGTTTGCACATAATTATCGCTATTCCATCGACAACTGAAAACAAAGAAGCAGAATAATAATGATGAAGACGAGACTATCTATAATAGCAACAAATAAATAAATTAAACTTATATTCACTTTCTACATTTATTTTAAAACTTTTATTTTTACTATTTGACATATCATTATTATATACAAATTTGCATGTATTGTCACTCTTCAATCGACAAATGAAAATGAAGAAGCAGAATAATAATGATAATGAAGAGATTATGTCTATAATAGTAACAAACAAATAATAAATTATACTATATTCGTTTTCTAATTTTTTTTATTTTCTATTTTCACCATTATTATATTAAAAATTTTCAATCAAATGACAAAGAACTAATCAGTACAAAAAGTTTTTTCAATTGTCACATTATATTATGAGTAAAAATGAAAAGTAATTTTAAACCGTAGAAAGAACATTATTCTTAACAGATATATGTCATATTTAAAGGCTTCAAGTGAATAAAAAAATTTATTTTAATTAAACTTAATCATGTTTTTCGTGACCATAATAAGATTACGAATTTATTTTAAATGACGAAAAAAACTCACAATTATGATATGAAAGTATGCACGCACCGGATCGAATAAATCTATTTTTTTATTTATCTAAACTTTTATTTATTCCAATAAAAGGAGTGTATACCTTAAAATCCGTGGCTGTTGGATCCTATGCCCGTAGTATGAGTAGCAACATGTGCTTGTCAATAGAAAACCTAAAGTTAGTATCTGGGGATGTTGCTATTGCAATACCTACTTTACCTAGTACTTGCTTACCTCATAAAAGTTTATTTGAATAGTCAAAGTCTTAAAAGGAGTTACAATTTACAACTGGCTTATTTAACACTCCTTAATTATGTATTTATTGGTCACACATAGTATAAGTTTGAATCGCAAATTTAATGACTCTTTATTATTACTTCTATCTAGAAGATTGGTGAAGAATGTAAATTGCAAGATATGTCTTAACTCGTGAATAGGTCTTTAACTGTTTGCACGCGAGTATTCATACCATACACCATGATTCTGATCTGTCAGTAAAGAAAAGTTTATGGACTTTATTTTGAATTGGATAGCCCGCTATTTGAGTTGTGCCTAGGGTCCAAGAAAACTAAAAGGTAAAGAAAACAAAAGACAATGTCCTATTTGGTAAAATAGTTAGCTTAACCGTCAATTTTGACTTATTTGATCACTATTAGCTATTTGACTTGGTTAAAAAAAAAAAAAATCAATTAGCTCTTTGTAACTTCAAAATGCTAAAATTCAAAAGCTGCTTAAAGCAATTTTTTCAATTAGCTTTTTGATAAAAGAAATTATACCAAACAGCTATCAGCTAACAGCTAATTTACCAAACATCTTTCTATAATTAGCTAATGTTATGAACTATATATATATATATATATATATATATATATATATATATATATATATATATATATATATATATATACCATCTAATTAACCCAATCAATTAACAACTAACAGCTATCAGCTAACAGTCATTTACCAAACATGGTCAATCAATGTGAATAATACTAAACCAAAAATACATAGCTAAGTTAAAGGTAGAATATATGCTAACATAGGTAGAATATATGCATGCTAGAATATATGCTAACAAGCACAATCAGTAGCCAAAATGATTTCACAGGTACTAAAGCATTTACAACAAAATATCAAGTTTGTCATATGTTAGTTGCAACATTAATCATTGAAATGTTCATCGTAGTAGCTTAAAATCCAAAATTTACCCAAATTCACACACTCATCCAAGTTTTGTAGCAATTCTTGTTACAGATAGTTGAATAGATTTGTTTGTCACAAAATTTGTTGGTCGGTACAAATATGATTTAATCATTCTTTATTGAATTGTGCACTCTTTATAAGTGAAACATAAAAGATAGAGGAAATTGTATTATGTAGTCTAAGTTCTAACATTGTGATATATACTATTTAATTTTGAAAACAAATTTTTAAAAAATAAATTAGTGAGATTAAGAAAAGGTGGTAAGTAATTTGCTAATAAATCACATAAAACATTAGTGTTCTAACATTGTTATTATTTTTTAAGTGATCTCAGTTTCGTCAGACTAATTCTAAACTCATAAGATCAGTATTGCTGGTCTATTTATATTTTCAGTGGGAGATTCTAACCCCACACTCACGGCTGGAAATTATGAAATCTCCGACCACCTGAAAGTGATCAAGTCGAAAGCCTTGTTCCGACCACTTTTGGTATCCGGAAAAATCTTTATTGCTATTTCCGACCACTTTTTGCTTTCGACTTGATTTAAGATCAATTTCATGTGATCGGAAATTTTATAATTTTCAGCGGTGACTGCCACCTTTAGTTGTAGCTTGAAATCAGACAACGAACCACTACACTAAGCTGCGACAATTATTAATAAATCAGCTGATTGAAGCAACCTCATCAGCTCAATTAATTTAATTTGTTTTAGTTTTGGTGGTTGACAAATAGCTGCTAGTCCCTGGGATCCTTCAATTCCCCAGGCTATAAAAGGCCATTGCATTCAACTGAATCCACCAAGCTAAGTTCCTTCAACTTTCTCTGCAACAATTTTAATGGCTGCACTTCCCCACACAAGAGACGAAGCAAAGCCTCTGGCGGATGCCTGGGACTTCAAGGGCCGCCCCTCCCTCCGCTCCTCCTCCGGCGGCTGGATCAGCGCCGCCATGATTTTAGGTTCATTTCCTCAGTTTATATATATTATTATTACTTTTCGATCTGCCAAGGAAATCCGCAATCACCACACGAGGGTGGTGTATACTGGGTAAATTCCGCTCTTCTGATTCTGGCCCGCCAGCAAAGGCTAATAGGCTGAAATAGGGTAACAGTCGGACCAACTTAGTTAGGATTATCGGGACAGTTTCAATTATTGGGAGTTTGGGACTATATATATATGTTTTGTTTTTGTAGGAGTTGAGGCTTGTGAAAGGCTGACGACTTTGGGCATTGGCATTAATCTGGTGACATATCTGACGGACACTATGCATTTGGGGAATGCCGGCGCCGCTAACGTTGTTACTAACTTTCTTGGAGCCTCGTTCATGCTCACCCTCCTCGGTGGTTTCGTTGCTGACACTTTTCTTGGAAGGTATATGTTCTCCCCAAAACATTAAACTTTTTGATGTTTTTAATGATGGGTTTTGCATAAAATTCGAAACTACACCTTTTAATCATCCTTTCTAGTACTCCATGGATGAAAAGTTAGTATATTTTCAACTTTTTCCAACACTCATAGTAGTAAGACTTTCAAAATTTTTGGTGGCTGTAAACAACAACAAAGGGTTTAAAAGTAGTGAAAAATTAGTCAAGAAAAGTCGTTTTCAAGACCCACCACTTTTAATTGGTGGTCAAGAATAGTAACTAACTAATGAAAAAATTGATTTGGAAAACTATTTTTTGTTGAAAATTATAGGGTTTTGACCTTTAAGTGGTCTATAATTATGAGATTTTTAGCTATAATATATTTTATCTTACAGTCTTACACATTTATCATACACTGTAATTGTTGGGTAGTATCTCGGTGAACCCAGTCGAGTCTCTTATTATTGAACGTGACGCTGATTATTATTTAGTATTTAAAAAAAAAAAAATAGACCGTCACTATTAGTTATAACTTTTTACTGGTTGATAGTATCATTATAGTTTGTTCTTATTGGTTTTCATTCTTTTTTTCCTTTTGACAGGTATTTAACAATCGGAATCTTTACAACTGTCCAGGCAGCAGTAAGTATCACATGCAAATATGCATGCAGAATCTATAAAATAAATATATAGATGCACATGCATGCACTTTAGCACTTTTGGTATATGATGATCTCATGATTCATGAATCTAACTTTTTATCCTTTGACTTATAGAAATACATTTTCGATTTTCCCCATACATATATATAAGCATATGCATGCATGAAGATGAAATTATTAGAGTTATTTAATGTATGCTTTTGTGTTGTTTATGTTATGTTAATTAGGGTGTGACGATTTTGACTATCTCAACAATAATCCCAAGCCTGCAGCCGCCGAAATGTTCGCCGGAAAGTGGTTCATGTGTGCCGGCGAGCGGCGGGCAGCTAGGGGTCCTGTACTTGGCCCTGTACCTGACGGCGCTGGGCACCGGCGGCCTGAAGTCCAGCGTGTCCGGCCTGGGGACCGACCAGTTTGATGATTCCGACAAGAGGGAACGGGGGCAGATGGTGAAGTTCTTCAGCTGGTTCATCTTCTTCATCAACGTGGGGTCGCTGTTGGCCGTCACCGTGCTGGTGTATATTCAGGACAACCTCGGACGCCGGTGGGGATATGGGTTGTGTGCCTGCGCCATCGTCGGCGCTCTTGTGTTGTTCTTGTCGGGGACGAGGCGGTACCGGTTCAAGAAGCTCGTGGGGAGCCCGTTGACGCAGATTGCCGCCGTGTACGTGGCGGCGTGGCGGAAGCGCCGCTTGGAGTTGCCGTCCGACCCTGAACTTCTCTACAACGTCGATGATGTCGTCGCCGCCGCCGGTGATCAAGAACACAAGAAAATCAAGATGCCTCACAGCAAAGAGTTCCGGTGAGTACTAAATCTTTTAACTTTAATTTGCCCATGTTACCTATGTACATAGTACATATTAATAAAACATCCTAATTTTATGAAACTATTGACTTAGTAACCATAGAGTTTCAAATTTGACTAGTAAAAGAGTTCATTGGTCTTCTTGTTTGAGCTGATGAATTATAGGGCAACTCAAAATTATTCACTAAACTCTACCTTGTGCGTTTGGTCAACATAGAATTACAAAGAGGTTTTTTGTGACTCTATTCAACAAATGACCAAAAAAAGTACATTAGTGAGTCAGTTATAGACAACTTAAATTGGTTTACATCAGCTTCTTGTGTCATCTGTTGACCAGAATTGCAAGATCCAAAATTTACTCATTGCATGTCTTTTGATAGTTGCTACAGGTTTCCTAGCTTGTCACCCAAAATTTTTTTTTTTTTTAATTTCACCTTAAAAGGTTTGGGGTTCTTGATTTGACGTTTAATTCTTTTCAATACATCTAGCCCATATTTTACAATAAAAAAGGTTGTGTTTGTGATGAATTTGTGGTATGTTTTGTAGATTCCTTGACAGGGCAGCAATCAAGGAGGGAGTTAGTGAGGTGAATAAATGGAGCATATCAACTTTAACCGACGTTGAAGAGGTTAAACAGTTGATTAGAATGTTACCAACGTGGGCAACGACCATAATGTTTTGGACCGTCCATGCGCAGTTGATGACATTTTCCGTGTCACAAGCCGCCACCATGGACCGCCACATGAGCAAATCGTTCGAGGTTCCGGCGGCGTCGATGGCCGTGTTCTACGTCGGGGGAATCCTGGTCACCATTATGATGTACGACCGGATCATGGTGCCGATTTTCCGGCGAGTGCTGAACAACCCGCAGGGGCTGAGTCCCTTGCAGCGCATAGCCGTCGGGCTAGCGCTGTCGGTGGTGGGGATGATGGCGGCGGCGTTGGTGGAAATCAAGCGGCTGAAAGTGGCGCGGTCGCACGGGCTGACGGCGGACCCGGCGGCGACGGTTCCGATGAGCGTTTTCTGGTTGGCGGCGCAGTACTTGATCGTGGGGTCCGGGGAGGCGCTGACGTATGTGGGGCAGCTTGATTTTTTCCTGAGAGAATGCCCTAAGGGGATGAAGACGATGAGTACTGGGCTGTTCTTGAGCACGGTGGCGTTAGGGCTTTTCTTTAGCTCGGTTTTGGTTACGATTGTGGGGAAGGTGACGGGGGAGAAGAAGCCATGGTTGGCGGATCATCTTAACCAGGGAAAGCTGTATGACTTTTATTGGCTGTTGGCGGTTATGAGCGCTTTGAACTTGATGGCTTTCCTCTTTTGTTCAAGAGGCTATGTTTACAAGGAGAAGAGGTTGGCTGAAATGGGGATAGAGTTGGAGGAAGAGACACATATACCAGGCGGTCACTGATCAATCTGATCCGTTTATCGAATCCCGAAACGTCCATCCCTAGTCAGTTCGCTCACCAAAATAATAAAGTGACTTGTATAAAGTTATCGTGATCGATCGAGTTGGTTTGCTTTTGTATGTGCACCAAATCTAACCAAACATTTGTCAATGAATAATAACCATAATGGCCTAATGGGCAATTGGGCACAGGTGAAAGGGCAAACCTTAAAGTAAAGGATTTTGTTTTTGTTTTATTTTTGTAAGATTGTGTTGTAAAAAGGTACAAACTCAAAGAGGAATAACAAATGTTGTGTTTGTCTGGAAGATCTTTGGTTCTGTATAGATTTGTAGCAATATGTGTACGTACAACTAACACCTGCCTACAATGTTGCCTCATCAGTACAATTAATTCATTTTCATTTATTTAAATGGTGAAGAGAATACACAAAACAAAATTACCTAATGAAAACACATGAAAAGCTATCAAGAATATTAGGATAAAGAGATAAATTTGACAAAACTAAACCCCAGAATACATACTGGGGGTATGTAAAACACAACTCTTTTCTTATGGCCACCAATTCAAAGAAGTGATTTACTTCTTCATTCATTCATTCATTCATCCATCCAAACATTCTTCACGATTGACTTTAGTCAACCCTGCGGCCTGGACAACTATCTCTAGCAACTCAGAAAATTCGACAACAGTTTATGCGTTGTCACAGCATGCTGTGTGGCTGTGTTGATTCCTTGTATTAGTTGGATGAGGATCTGGGAAATGTGCAAAGCATATAATCTCTAACTTTTGGCTGGAATGCAGGCAGGGATGAAAAAGAGGTTCAGGGCTGGGCTGCTAGAGCTCGTTTAAAGTCAGGATCCTTCGAAAGAATTGATGAGAGTTTGATCAACTTGACCGAATATATTTGGGCATCCATCCCATTTCCCATTCTCCCGTGTTTCCCAGTATCCACCTACATAGCGGAAAGTCCCATCTTCACCTTCTCTTTCGAACCATCTTGGCTTCCATCCATTTTCTTGTAATTTCCTGGACTGTGGAACAAACAAGTCTCGTTTGGAAACTTTGATGTGGCAAATATAGTTGAAAGTAAAACGTGTTTGAAAATCATTGGTTGACAACCCAAATAAAAATCATGAAATTGCACAGAACATAGGATGAAAGGCAGCACATACCATTCTCTGCCGCATCTCCAGTCGCAGTTTCTCTGCATTTGCTTTATCGTATTCCCCGTTCTCCAGAGAACGCTGATCTGGTCTAAGTCTTGAGTCGGTAGGTGGGAGCTTCTCCTTCATATATGATTAAATACATGGGTCAGAAGAAGAGCTGTATATGAACGAGATGGGCTAATTTATTACCTCTATAAGAGTAAACTGAATTAAAATAAAGAAATAGTTGGTTGTTCCATCATGATACCTTCAGTCCTGGAGTTAACTCATTCAGTGTAATTGCAAACGAAGACATGTTGTATCGAGTGAGGTTCTGTGGAGGCTTATTGCTTTTCCACAACAATGATGCATCAGATAAATCTTTTGGCTTGCTATTCCATTCTCCATTCAAGTAATATATGCTCTCGTCCCACTTGCCAAATAGCGTAGCTACTTTAGTGCCCGTAACATCTTCAACAAATCCATGAACCTGTATAGTTAGTTTAGTTTCAAAGTCACTCTGGTTGCTAGTTCAAATAAATGCTAGGTGTAGAAATGAGATAAACACGACACGTGTGGATATGTTCACAGGAAAACGGAAATATTAAAATTTATGGTATCAACATAGCAAAACTTTCAATTCCCCTACCTGGTGAGGGTTGCGATCAAGAAGAGATTGCTCTTTGAATTTCAATTTGCATGAGTATTGGCGATTACCACGTATATCCATTATCCCATGGTGATCACAGTATATCTTGCCAAGGATAAGGTTATATATACTAGTTGTGACCTGAGGATAGCATCAAAACCCATTTAATCATAGGAAATAAAGAAAGCCAGTTGGTGTTAAGAAATCAAGGAATGAGCTACACAGCATACCTTGCTCCACTGAAAAATCTCCCCATCATCAAATTCTAAAGTTAGTGTTCCAACAGGATCAAGTTGAATAGATCTCCCCCAAAATTTGGATTTAAGGTTACTATCACCCCAGAATTTCCAACCTCTACCTTCACAATGACAGGCAATAACTGTTGGGTGGTGACTAACCTGTTTCAAAATTTCACAAATCATTAGCATCAATACAGACTTCAAAAGTAAAAGTAATAAAATAGAATCCCATTCAGATTCATTAAAATTTTAGATCTCCATCATGTTACTTTACTCAAGACTTTTTTTTTTTATTGATATTCAAATTTCATTCTCTATATTGATGCATTTAATGTTACAGCGTATCTTAATAGTCCAATATTCATTCTTACCCTAAAACATAATTCAGGACTAAAAACAACACCCCACATGAATGGTTATAATTAGAGCCATGTGGCTCTGATCTTGGTGCTACATGAACCCTAAGTCAATGAATGGATAATGAGGTGAGCTAATTTTATTGATATGTCCCTATTGGGAATTTCCTCGTCTGGGGGGGGGGGGGGGGGGGGGGGGGGGGGCTCACATTTTGAGCCATGGCTCCAAGTATATGAGCACTGACAGATTGTTTCTCGAATGTTGATGTAAAAGATAGCTGCACAGAGCTGAAACCAATACAAATTTACCTACAGTAAAGTTATCCTGATATGTTGAACACTGATAGCAACATTTCAGAACTCAAGCAAACCAAAAACCCCCACCCCCCTCTCTCTCTCTTTGCAACTTTGTTTTTGCTTTTGCAGACACACACCAAGTAAGACTTAAATTATAGTGGATCCACTCTTCCTAAGAAGAAGAAAAGTGCAAGCTTCTGTCAGATTCAAATTTAGTCTCCCTAAAGCAACCAATCACACAGAAGAAAATTACAACTCTCTCAAACATTCTGCTACTTTGCTATATTAAATTTAGGAAAAAAAAAAAAAAAGTTTATCATCTAAAAAGGCTAGCATATGCCTGCACAGAGAATCTAAGTATATCCCTATTCTAGGTGGGTCACACATCTTATGCTTAATGGATATACCTTCTCAGAGAAGAATCGCATTCCTTTCTCTGGAAAATCAGCCTCATAGGTTTCTCCCAACAAAGGATTGAAAGGTTTACAGTGCCGGCCTTCACTTGAAGCATACCCAGACACAGCAAAAGCAGCAACATTCAAAATCCTCTGTAGAGTGTTCCCCTAAATGAAAAACATGATGACAAATTTATCAACAAATACAGATTTTAGAAACAAATCAAAAGATTATTTATTCAAAATCAGTGTCAATGTAATTCAATGGATTCAATTAAAAAAAAAGGTGGCAAAGCAAAACTCATGTTCATGCAGAGTCAAGTATAATGTACAGAATTCATTAGTTTAACCATCAAAATTTCTAGAATGTGCATTCTTTAGTCTTTACGAAAGGGCAAAGACACAATTATGAGCATACCTCTTTCCCATGCTTGTATGCCCTATCTAAAAGATAGGAGTACTCCAAGTCTTCAAAGCTTCTCTGAAGGGTTGATAACGGTTCATTAAAGTACACTGGAAGACACACTCGTGTCAGATCTTTTCCAACATTATCTTTAATCATAGACCATAAACTAACCCCCTTCTCTTTTTCAATTGGATCAGGGAGTTTCTTTCGCCTTTCTACTTGCAGACACATGGAAGTGTCCTTATCAGCACCCTTTTGCATCATATCATTAGTAGGTTTTTCAAGCCCACAGCTGACAGAAGGTTCAGGAAAGTAGTCGTTAGTGTCAAAAAATCTAGCTTCCTCTTCATCTGATGCTTCCTCTAGCTCTTGTTTCTCAACATCATCAGATGATTCAGTGGTGCTCCACTCTAAAACAAGTGAAAGATACAGTAAATCATATTTCCAAATTCCATTTGAAATGGATGGCAAGTACCGCAATGTGCAATGCAATGGTTGGGAAAATGATGAATAGGTAGTGGAAATAAAGTGCAAAGAAATTTTGATTTATTGGTTGAAGAGGAATTAGAATGGAAGGAACAAGCACTTTATATTTATATAGTTAATTCCCAATGGACACAAGCTAAGCTCTATATTATTATTATTATTATTGTTATTATTATTTTGAAAGGAAAGGATATATTAATTATCATGAATCAAATGTTGAATACAAGCAGGATAACAAGAAAACCAAGAACGAGGACCAGACAGAGAATTAGCAGCCTTAGCCAAAGCACAAGCCAGCTTATTCGCTGATCTAGAAACAAACCGAAACGACACAATATCAAAATGTCGTTTTAGCTAAGCTCTATATTGGTTATTGATATATAATCTAATGGAGTGAAATAAAGCATGAATGAATGAATACAAAGGAAGAATGAACAAAACAACGAAATAAAAAATAATAAAATAATAATAAGGGTAAAGGGCAGGAAGAAATTAGGAAAATAAAGAATGTGGCATAGTTGCATAGCACAATCAATGCCCTAGAAATTAAAATTCTATAAGCTACAGAGTATTAATTTTACAGTATATAAATTATTAAATTTCACTTCACTATGCTGATAGCTGATATATAAAATTTAGCTCACTATGCTGATAGCTGATAATTTATGGTTTTGGAGAAAAGTTCTTTTTAGAATATTTAACATTAGAGAGAACAACTGAACATATATAAATCTTCTTCTAGTCATATTCTTTAGAATGTTGAATTACATAACTGGAGTTTTTTTTTTTCAAACCAATTCTTTTTCCCACTCCTATTCTTTCCACTTTATTAAGGGAATGGAAATATCAATTTTAAAAAAACAAGGAGTATTTTGAAGTAAAGGAAACTAGATATTAAGCTTACCACTGTACTTTCCACGTCCTAAATTTGGGTATTCACGCTTTAACAATTGGTAGTCACCATCTGGAACTCCAGAGGCCTCGGTTTCAATATTGGTTGCCTGCAGGTAAAAATATTTTGAAATGAATTTTAACCCTGAGAAAGGGAATTTTAAACCAAAAAGCACTTGGAATATGTCTAACATGCCCATACGTTTGGTTACTGTAGGGTTGTGCTTGGCATTTAATAGGAATCCAAACAAACACTTAAACAGGTCCAAATTCAAGAGTTCAAAAAGTTAAAAACAAACATTCAAATCTGACAGCTTTGTCCTTTTCTCTCTTTTTCCCATTCATTAATGGTGTTGACTTCATGGAAAGTATTGCACAATAAATGTACATTTGTTGATTTAAGGATATTTTTGGGTTAAGAAGAAAAAAGGGCCATAAAATGTTTTATATGTATTTTAGTCCATGAAAAGGCTTTGTCCATTCAGGCATAGATATGTCATATGTGAGGTTGCTGGGAAAAGTATTCACTATAAAACATTTTACACAAATTATATAATGGATGTTTTAAATGAAGTGAAGGGTTATAAAGGGGGGAGGGGGGAAGGAATATGCATGTATAAACATCATTTACCTCTAACTGTTGTAAAGTGTCTAACAAATTTGAACGCTCCTCACAAAGAAATTGAAGTTGACCTTGGATTTCTGAAAATTCAGAAAGCATTATCTGCTCACAATCCTTAACTAGTCCTTCACTGATTCCTTCATCAAGCAAACGCTTCTTTAGCTTTTCAGTTGACACAGATACACTCCTGGGTAAAATGGAGAGATTATCATTGGCTGGTCTAAGCATAAAGATATTTCTGGTTGAAACCAATGCTTCTATCCAAGCTTCTCTCTCTTTCCTTGAATTTGTCCTTAGATGAAGAGTCTTTGTAGCTGTAAATATGTAAAACCTCCTATCATCTGACCTGCTCTCCCGAAATGATGAGACCTACAGAAGAAGTAGGTGCAAACAAAAAATGCAATTAATTCTGTTCCAATATGGATAATGAGAACTAGCCTAGCAAAAAAATGAATAAAGATTAATGCTTGCTAAAGTCAGCATTGCCAGACAAGAGATGGCTACACAAGGAAAAATAAAAGAGCAATAACATGAACATCACATGACAGAAACAGTAAATCATAGACCTAAACAGAATATTGCTTCAGACGAACAAGCACCACCAAGCCAATCAAAATGGTATTCATTACAAAATAAACTGGTTTTGATCCAGACAAACAGTTAAGCATCATCCATTCCTAGTAGTTCAAGAAAACCTTCAGTGAGGTGGCTGGTTCACCTAAGCCAGCATGGAACACATAGTATAAGATAAGAATATTATGTTCTCTTCCTTTTTTACAATACTGATCACCCAACCATTTGATGCTCAAACTGGCTTAGCTCCCATAAAATCAGACGTCTTAGAGGTGAATAATATGAAGTGAAATAGCCAAAAAAAAAAAAACAAACACTTGTTCTAGACATAGTAGGAGAAAGAAAGGTAGAAAGTAGAAACAGATCTCTCCACCATTCTTTACTGTTTCACGCTTACAATTCTAACCAAGAAAAGAACATTGCTTTCTTGCCAACAGAAGCAAAGGAGGAGACTTGTCAACACAGAGAACTAAAGAAACCCAGCCAAAAAAAATAAAAAATAAAAAATAAAACAGGAAGCCAAGCTGACAAGGGCTTTTTGCTAGTTTGAAAATGAAGTAAAAGGGTCACCGTTAACCAGAGGCAAATCAACCCAATCACACCGCAGGATTTCCTTTTTAAAGAGCGCGAATCATGGCTTTTACCACAAAACCTAAAGCCCAAACCTAAATAAAGCCACTTCTCTAATTACTGTGATGTGACTAACTAAAGATTAACAAACAGTTAAATACTTAAATCCAATGGTAAAATGGCAAGAACATTCAAAGACCGCCGGACTATAGATTCTACGAAAAACTCAGATATCTATGCTATTAGGTGGCAGTGGTGACAACAAAGTTTTCACTGAGATGGAAATGGTAGCAATCGGAGTAAATGCGCCCCATTGATTGAGCTGCCGATATGGGAAAGTTTTCTGTTTGCTGTAATGTACCCACCAAAACGACGATCCTTCCTTTTGATTTCCCCGATTGTAAACTCCTGGAAATTTTCCCGATCTCATATTATCAGAGCTCTGATTTTCTCTCTCACACAGTTCACGCAGTGGGTATGAGTTCCCACTGACCAGTGGGCCTAATGACACACAAGCGACAGGACATATATACACAAACATGTATATACACACACAAATTAATTTATACCTTGAGGTGAACAATGCGGATGGTTTTGCGGTGTTTACGGCGGCCGAAGTCGTCGGACGCGATGTGGCCGATTAGCTTAACGTCGTCGGCGGCGAAGGAGATGTGGTCAGGGTGGCAAGTTTTGGAATACGACAGAACGCCGTTGCGGAGGTTGAACCAACGGGATCTCCAGCCCTTGTGGTAATTGGTCCACTTATACAACACGCCGGCGACGCTGACGGCCTCGGATCCCCCCGCATTGGCATCAGATCCGACTACCGCCGAACCAGTCCGCAGCAACATCGCCGTCGTCTCCGCCGGCTCCGGCGATTGGTCCCCGATCGCCCCGCTCGCCAGCGTTATACAGCAGAGCGGATGCATTTCCCTGGCCCGCATTTCGATCGCTCCACCAAATTCCCCTCTTCCGCTCCAATCTCACCGCCACTCGATCGCCATTAACCCTCTCCTCCTCCTCCTCCTCAATATATACAAATATACAACCACTGCTCCAAACTAAAATCTGTTACTCATACAATCCACAATACAACAACTCCGCTACAGACGTATACATACACAAACCAATACATACACGTACATATATATATATATATATATTTACATACGAAAAAAAAAAAAGTGTGTATGCGTGTGAAAGCACCTGAAAGAGCTCTGAAACTGAGGATTTTGGACTTTGGAGATTAGAGAGAGAAAGGAATCTATTTCGTTTGCGATTTTGTAGTGTATGAAAAACAGTTGGAGTAAAATTAATATTTATATTTATATATTATATAAATAAATAAATAAAGGAATACATCGAAGCGCGGGGGAGGGGCATTGAGTATTGAGGGCCTGAGGGGAGTGGTAGAATGGTCATTTCGAGTCCTCCATCGCAGGGGTAAATCAAGGTGAATTTTCTCTCTGCGTTTTTAGGGTACAGATGGAAGTTGACGCAGAGTGGGGAAGATGGTGACGCTGATGAATTAATGATGTTACAATTGCGATATATATAGTCTTCTAAAACTCCACATTTATTCCCTCAATCTTCTCTCTATAAACCATTTTTCTCACAAAATTTACATCATTCTTAATCGCTCTATAATCCACAATTTACTCCAAAAAAGTGCAATAATCTTAGCTCTATAATCCACAATTTACTCCAAAAAAGTGCAATAATCTTAGCAACGGCAGTATGAGAATTATGTCTAAAGTGGACAGATCTTTTGTGTTCATTAACATTTAATCCTATTTGCTGAGATATACCGTCACCGTGATTTACATCCTTTCAAATGCTTTGTCAGACAGGGGTGTGCGACCTTTGAGGTTGGAGATTCAACCCTTTGGAAATAGTGCAACAATCTTGATCAAGAAATATTAATAATAATCAAACTTGTAACTTCATGTTTTACATTTAAGCATTTTAGCTCTTGATTCGAGCATTTTGAGACTTTTTTTAGTACTATTGATTCTGTTACAATGCAATATTTGTTCATAATTATTTTCTCAACCTATTGAAGCACAAAAAGTCAATATCGTCTCCGGTAGGATTTTTGTTGAACTTTTACTTTCATATATTTTAAATATGTAATATAATGTTAGCATTATATTACATATTTGGCTAATATATATTACTCTGTATAATCAAAATGTAATATTAACCCTTTTGTTTAGTACTAGACTCTGTTACAATGCAGTAATATTAATTTGTTAATGACATTTGATTGTAAAATATTTATTTTTATATTTTTTGTGTAAAGAAAATAATTCTTTATTTATTCTATTCGAGTTGAGTTCGAATAATTTGAACTTATGTCAAGTTGAGCTTTAAAAAAATTAGAGTTTGACCGAGCTTAAGTTGTGTTTGAGTTTTAATTTGTCGAGTCAAGTTTCAAGTTTTAACTGTTTAGACTTAACTTAATTTGATTACACCCCTTGGGCCTTGTTAAAAAGTTTATAATTTAAAGAATAAATAATTTTATTAATAAATAATTATCCTTTAGATTTTATTAAGAAACTTTAATTCTTCTCCCAATTAAGAAACTTTAATTGTTTCTCTTTTTAGAGTCCTTGTACGTAAAGTACGTATTATATGATTTAGAAGAGATTTTTAATTATTAATTGTGTAAATTAGAAATCATTATATTAATTATTTATCACAAATTAAAGTCATATAGAGATTACGGCACGATTTGGTTGTGTCAAAAGTCTGCATAAAGTATTGGATTTGATGTCATCGGTCAAGTTCAATCAAAAATAAAATATAAAATATAAATTCAAGTAGCTATTTTGAATTTTGTCAAAAAATGCATAAGTGTCAAATAGACCCATTTACTACTGCGAAGTGTTCAATTTTCACCACGAACTAAATTAAGTGTTAAATAAGCCCATCTACCAGCTAAATTTGTTCGATTGGTATTTTTTACAGGTTGCTAGCAGGTTGCCTGTTTAATTATTAAAAATAAATAAATAGAATAAAAATTAAAAAAAAATTAAAAATTAAAAATTAAAAAAAAAATAATAATAATAAAGAATATCATCCACCGGCTGTCTTTGCCGGATAGCCGGCTGATATTCTTTTTTTTTTTTTTAATTTTAATTGTTAATTTTTTATTTTATTTATTAATTTATTTTTAATAAATAGATAGGAAACCTGCTAACAACCTGTAAAAAATGCCAATCGAATAAATTTAGCTAGTAGATAGGTCTATTTGACACTTAATTTAGTTCTTAGTGGGAATTGAACACTTCACAGATGGGTCTATTTGACATTTGTGTCGTCAAAAAATAAAATTTACTAAAAATATATATACAATTAGATAATGTCTATCCAATTGATGATGTCTACCCTTTACGACTGCATCATGTATCATTTTAAAACGTTACACTTAATTTCGAGGGTCACAGATCTTAGGGTGTGTGTGGTTCGTACAAGGAAATCGAAATCGAAATTAGAATCAAATACTTGGTAATAGTAATGTGTTTTGGTGATAGTATTTTGCATGTTTGGTAGTACGATAAAATTAAAATGGTTATCAGATGTTTGGTTATGTATGACCCTATAATGAGAATAAATTTTTTAAAAATATAAAATAAAAAATTAAGACTATTGATCTTAATATAATGATATCCAAAACACTAATATAAACAAAAAAAAAAAAAAAAAAAATCAAAACGAAAATCTAAAAGGACTAATTAGTTGTGAAGATCATGATACAACAACGAATTTCTTTTTCAAGAACTCGATTAGACATGCACGTGATTGTTAGGTCATGTAACAAGCTCCATTGAGCCTCCTACCCTTTTTTATAGGATAATTGCATGGGTGTTGGTCAACTTTGCCATATATGCATTAGTTGTAGTTTAGTCTTTTGGGCACTTTCCTCCCTTTTTATTTAAAAAAAAAAATGTTTTTCAATAAGTGAAGAAGACTAGAGTTGTGAAATTACCAAATTAAATTGATACAAAAACTAACATTAATTTAACAAAAATGATAGGGAGTAATAAATTACTAAATAAATCAAAGTAGTAAAATTTATAAGTGAATTAAATATGGTCAAATTAAAATTGAAGTAGATGACTAAGAGTATTCCCATTCAGAGTTTTTTGCAATGTTGCATAAGGCGCTAGATAGGGCCCCCGAGAAATGCCTAGCGTCTAGGTGGCCGAGTAATTTCAATATATCGTTTTCACTTTTTCCACTTAGAATTGGAAATTGTTAGACTGTTATAATCTCCCAAACAAGTCAATTACATATGTTAGATGGTTAGTTGAGTACATGACTGGAGAATATAGAAGAGGAGTAGCCGACCAGGTAAAAAAACACTCGGCCGAGTTGGGCATCGACTAAGCCGAGTTAGGCGCCCAGCTCAGCGCCTAGTCGGTCAATTAGTTGGCCGGCGGACTAAAATTACATCAGCCTAGGGGTGCCTAGCGCGTAAAATTGTCTCCTCCGTTGTTTTTGTGTGTGACGCATACTTGGTGCGCCCAATAGGTGCGTGAGGTAATTTTTTTTTTTTTTTTAAGATTAAAACTTAATTCATTAGATCAGCTATAAGACAATTCACAAGAAAAGGGAGAGTTTTTTTTTTTTCTTCTTTTTATTTTTATTTTTATTTTTATTTTTGTTTTCTTATTCTCTCCTTTCTCTCCCAATCATGCTGACAAAAATCAATAAAATACTCAAACAAATGGGTTTGCTCTAAATATGACAATGAAACAATAATTGCAAAATTTAAAAAAAAAATAGTAAATTTTGAAGACAAAAAAAAAAATTTGTAATTTTATTTTATAATCTACTTTTCAATGTGTTGATTAAGAATTAATTTTTACGATGTGGTTTACTTTTTCTTCTTCTTCTTTCTCTTCCATCCAATTAATATAAGTCACAAGACAATTATAATATATTGTTATATACTATGCTTTGGTTGTTTTGGTCCCACGTTATTAAAATTTGTAAAATCTATCATAAGTTTTATATGACAACGACAACTGTGGTTCTTCGGTGAATATAAATGTATGAGTGCATTATGGTTCAAATATTTTTATGATCACTTTAATACTTAGCTTTTAGCTATTTACTTTTATTTTCACATCAAGCCCATCATTACATATGCCAATTTACTCATTTTTCTCAAAATTTAAGGAATTTGAGGATAAAAGGGGTGTTTGATTTCAACTAAAAAATGTTTAAGGTGATGGAGATAATGATACAATTGAGGTGAAATTATGAATAAATAATGAATTCTTAAAAAGAGAATAAATAATGAAAAATATTAAAATTTTCATTAAAAAACTTTGGACAATAACATTGCAAACTTAGGTTTTCTTTTACCGACGAACCAATGCAAACTCAGCACAATAGTGCAAAGCTAAGTTGCTAAAGATAATTTTTGGAATACTATTGACTTTATTACAAAGTAGTATCTGTTCTATACTTTCTCTATAAGTTACTAAGTTATATTATACAACTTTTAATAATATGTTATCAAAATAATTGTGTTATTCTTTCCAAAGGTTGAACCCCAACCTTAAGGGCCCGCCACACCCCGTCCCGACAGAGCATCTGAGAGGATGTAAATCATGGTAACCCAACTGAATATGAATCACAGAGGCTAGACTTTTACTTACTGCGCACAAGGACCCCCCTCGCTTTGAGAGGTTACTCCCACACTGCCGCGACTCGATTCCTAGTCATTCTTTTCAACTTTCACCTCTATAATCAGTTGAGCTGTCCATGCGGACATATTATTATTATTATGATGGTGAATGGAGGACAATGAAGTATGACTTAAAGGAGGAGATTATTCTTGGAAACTTCTTGCAATTAATACGCACCACAAAGGAGACTTTGAAGGTTGATATCAAGTAGCCTAATTAAGTAGAGAATTCAAAACTCAAATAACAACACAAAATTGAAGCGGTCAAAGTCATCATTACAAATTAAAGAACACTGTTAAAGTAGGAAAGTAATCATGAATTTCCAGTTCATATATTTTCACAATCTAAATTGAAAAAAAAAAAAAAAAAAAAGAGAAAACATTTTAATTTGTGATAAAAAAAAGAGTCATGTCAGTACTACTTGATATTTGTTGAATTGAAATTTTTATAGTTTGATTATTTAATTGTTTTTTGAATACTACTGATTCTATTACAATGTGGTGTCTATTCATATATTTTTTTTAATCTATTGAAGTACAAAGAGATGCTCGAACCCATGACCTTTTATTTGGAAAAGTGTCCACAACTCCCACAAGGTCA